CTCCGCTCCTGTTACTATACTATACCATTATATTGTAATATTAATAATAATATTACATGTAATATAAAATATATAATTGTAATATTGTATTATTATTAATAGTATTATGTTGAAGTACATTATAATATTATAAATATTTTATGTATATACAATATATTATATATTACTCTTTTGTACTATACCATTATATTGTAATATTATTAATATTATTACATGTAATATAAAATATATAATTATAACATTGCATTATTATTAGTAGTATTATATTGTATTACATTATAATATAAATATTATAAATATGATAGCCATGGGTCTGTCCAAAATGGTTTCTGGCCCAACCCATAGTGCTGGACACACTTTAGACCTTGTCAAAGCTCTAGCAGACCTCGGGAACATGGAGGTTGCTAGAACAGTTAACACACAGTGTGCTGGTACGGCTGTACCAGGGGCTCCAACTTTGTTTTCTTTCTGTTATCTGTTTTGCTGTCATAGGACAGGCCTCCTGTCCATCATAATTAAGTTTTGGTTCCACCCCTTGTTCTGGGCTCTGGGAGGGAAAGGAGCCATTTTTTGGTCAGTGTCACACAAGGTAGCTAAGCTATAGGACATAGACCAGCTTGTCCCATAGAAAAGCTTCCTTTCTCAATAACCATCCAGGAAAAAAGGAGAATCCAGGGAAAAATAACATCCGGGGATACAGAAGCAGAAATTCCAGGAGAAAGGTCCCAAAAGCTCTGGCTGAGAGCTCACAGCCTCACAGCATCAGAGGGAACAGTCCTGAAGTTTCTAAGAATTCTCGGAGGACAGCGTTACAGATCCATGGAATTCCAGCTGAAATATCTTTAGGCCGCGGCTGATAGGTCTACTCGATACCCAGACGCATTTGGAATCGGTAGTAGGTCCCACACTGATGAGGCATAGATAGAAAGCAGCCTGGGAGAGGTTAAAAAGGGTTTTCCTACAGAGAAAGTTTAGTCAAAGTCAGGTACCAGTCCATTGAGGACTAGACTAAGAAAGCCTCGAAGTGTTGTTTGAACCATTGAAGATTTGTTGTTTGTTCCATAATAAAGACTTTGTTGCATCATTAAAGACTCTAAAGACCATCACTTCAGAAAAATCCCTGAGAACCTCTCTTTGAGGCGCCCCTGGCTTCCCGCTGGGCTTAAGGTATACGTCCTATAGAAAAGTACAGCTGTTACAGGCCCAGCGCGCGACAGAACACACAGCAAAGCCAAATAGGCTCCCTGGTATTCCAGGGAGCTGGCAGGAATGAAGCAAGTGAAACAGAGACTAGAGCAGCATTGGACTTCCCACCTGTGGAATTCACTCCCCGTTGAAATTATGTTATCTGCGTCTCTCCTTTCCTTCAGAAAGAAGTTAAAAACATGGATGTGGGACCAGGTCTTCGGGTAATCATGTTGACAATGACAATGGAAATGGACAATGGAAATGGACTATAGACAAGCTTGATAGAGTCTCTAACCACAGAAGTTGGCTTAGATAAGGCCACCAGGCTGTTATATTTAAACAGATTTTAATTGAATTTGACTTAATGTTTTTAACTGTAATTATTGGATTTTATTATATATTTTATTATGTGCACATGGAGGCATCAAATTGTTGCTGGCTGGAAGCTGCCCTGAGTCCCCCCCCCCCCGGGGGGGGGGCTGAGAAGGGCGGGGTACAAATATCTGAAATAAATAAATAAAATTGGCAGAGAACTAAGCGAATCTGATCGAACACGGGCTAAAGCATACTTGAGATCCTCCTCCATGGCAATGAAGGCAGCACAAAAATCTTTCATGGCCGCCAACATTACATCTGAAAAGAACCGCCTGAGAGAGTTGTTTCGAGTGGTCAGAGGACTTTTAAACCCTGTTCAACCAGGGATCTCTGACCAATCGACACCTCATTGTGAAGAATTTGCTAGGCTTTTTGCAGACCAAGTTGCTCAGATCCGTTCCAACTTAGATGTCAGTATTAATGCAATCTCTGTGAATGCAACTGAGACATCTTCTTGTCCTATTTTAATGGATTTGTTTCAACTTGTACAACTGTGAACAAGATATTGGGAGGTATGAGAGCAACCACTTGTTCTCTGGACCCTTGCCCATTTTGGCTAATCAAACAGACCAGAAGGGGACTGGTAGAGTGGATGAAGGTACTGATGAACACCTCCTTGACGGCGTAATGCCAGCTATCTTCAAGGAGGCAGTAGTAAGACCTTTATTAAAGGAACAAGCACTGGAACCCACTCAATTAGACAACTTACAACCAGCTTAAAATCTCCCCTTTCTGGGCAAAGTTCTAGAGGACTTTGCCTCTCAGCTCCAAAGTTTCTTGGATGAAACTGATTATCTGGATCCTTTTCAAGCCCAACTATGAACAGAGATAGCATTGGTCACCTTGATAGATGATCTACGAAGAGAGCTGGGCATGTTTAGCCTGCAGAAGAGAAGACTGAAAGAGGACATGATAGTCATGTATAAATAAGTGAGGAGAAGTCATAAGGAGGAGGGAGCAAACTTGTTTTCTGCTGCCCTGGAGACTAGGACGTGGAGCAGTGGCTTCAAAATACAGGAAAGGAGATTCCACCTGAACATTAGGAAGAACTTCCTAACTGTGAGAGCTGTTCAGCAGTGGAACTCTCTGCCCTGGAGTGTGGTGGAGGCTCCTTCTTTGAAGGCTTTTAAGCAGAGGCTGGATGGCCCTCTGTCAGGGGTGCTTTGAATGTGATTTTCCTGCTTCTTGGCAGGGGGTTGGACTGGATGGTCCATGAGGTCTCTTCCAACTCTGTGATTTTATGAGAGCTGGACAGGGGGACTGTGTCCCTGTTGGTTCTCCTGGACCTCTCAGTGGTGTTCAATGCCATCAACCATGATTTCCTTCTGAGTCGTCTTTCTGGGATGGGATAAGGAGGCACTGATTTACAGTGGCTCCGCTCCTTCTTAGATGGTCAGGTTAAGACAGTAGTGCTGAGGACTGGGCGACATTAAAAAAAGAGAAGATTCTAGCAATCGAAGGGTCTGATATAAATCGGGAGTGGCATGCTTACCTCTGGAGAGATAAGGGCAAAAAGGAAACACTCTTTAAAAATCACCCCATAAGATCTGCATTACTCAATACCTGGAACAAGTACAAAAATAGATTACATCAAAAAACGCCAATGTGGTTTTCCCCCAATGAAGCATACCACAAAAGGGAGCTACCCCGGAATATATGGCTTACATATAATCAACTGTTAAACATCAAGGGACAGGAAATAACACTAAAATCAAGAGAAGAACTAAACCTGTTAGACTCCACTATCTCATGGTTTCACTACCACCAGATCAGAGAAAATTTCAAGATAGATAAAATAGTAGGTTTCGAAACAAAAAAATTCTTCTGGAACAATACACTAACAACAGAGAAAAAACTTATAAGAAAAATTTACAACCAATTACTGATTTGGGCCACAGAGACAGAGCAAGTAAAGACCAACATGATAAGTTGGTCAAAAGACATAGGCCACTCAATACCATTAGGAGATTGGGAAAAAATCTGGAAAAACAAAATCAAATACGCATATGCCACTGATATAAAGGAGAGCTGGTACAAGATCTTTTATAGATGGTACCTAACACCCGAGGTACTTGCTAAAATAAATAAGGACAAAACAAAGGACCGATGTTGGAAATGCAAGAGGGAGAAAGGAGTATTTCTACACATATGGTGGAACTGCAAAAAGGTTAAAAAATATTGGTTACAAATCCACAGAGCGATGGAAAAAATACTAGAGATAAAATTTGAACTAAAACCAGGAATATTATTATTAGGACTCCACAACCTTAAATTGGAAAAGAACGAGGACAAATTACTTTTCTATTTAACAACAGCTGCTAGGATGGCACTAGCAAAAATGTGGAAAACTAAAGAGATTCCAACACTGGAACACTGGACTAATAAAATAATGGACATAATAAATATGGACATTTTGACACAGAAAATCTCTCAAAACTATAATAAACCTCAAAAAACCAACTGGAAACAAGTACTAGATTTCATAAAAGAGGAAAATAAAGAGATGTATACAATAGATTTATAAATGCAATCCAAGAAAAAGATAAGTCTAAAGAAAAATGAAAGGGTCTAAACACCCCGAGCAAAAGAACTTAATATTTATTTTGGACAACAACATAAGGGCACAATAAGAAAAATTGAAAACAATAGGTAAAATCAAGAATGTTTGAACCACTCTGGACAAACCTGGAAGTACAAACTCCCACCCTCTGTCGCCCCCTCTACCTACCCCTTTCCCCCCCTATATGTGCCCTCACCCCCTTCCCAACCTCCTCTGCCCTTCACAGTGCTTTGTAACCCCCCCTCACACCCATCCCTTGCTTTTAGTTGTGTGTATGTAAAACAAAACCAAGACAAATATTTATAATTTTAAAAAAGACAGTAGTGCTGAGGGACTCCTGTTCAATCCCCTGGCCTGGGGCTTGCGGGGTCCCTCAGGGTTCTGTTCTGTCCCCCATGATGTTTATCATTTACATGAAACCACTGGGAAAGATCATCTGGAGTTTTGTAGTTTGGTATCAAACTTATGCAGACAACACCCAACTCTATTATTCCTTTCCACCAAAAACCAAGGATGCTGTCCTGGTACTAAACCAGTGTCTGTCATCAGTAATGCACCGGGATTGTGGTGCAGCTGGCTGAGTGTCAGCTGCATTAAGATTCTGACCAAAAGGTTATGAGTTCGAAACCAGCCCAGGTCGGAGTGTCGACCAATTGTGTAACTTGTTGTCGACCTTTGCAACCAGAAAGACAGTTGCATCTGTCAAGTAGGAAAATTAGGTACCACCTTGTGTGGGGAGGCTAATTTAACTAATTTATGAGGCCATAAAAAAGACTCCAGCAAAAGCACTCCAGCAAAGCATGTGGGGAATGCAGAAGTACTTCATCAGTGTCGCAGATGAACGATGAAAGCGACAGCTCCCCTGGCAGCCAGAAAAAGTTAAATAGCCTCCGTGTATGTCTATATACGTTGTATGTCTAATTGGCATTGAATGTTTGCCATATATGTGTACATTATAATCCGCCCTGAGTTCCCTGCGGGATGCGAAGGGCAGAATATAAATGCTGTAAATAAATAATGGACTGGATGAGGGCTAACAAGTTGAAATTGAGTCCAGACAATAGGTCCTCCTGGTCAGTCACAAAGCCAATCAGGGTATAGGGTTACGGCCTGTGTTGAATGGGGTTACACTCCCCCTGAAGGCACAGGTTCGCAGTTTGGGGGTGATCCTGGATTCATCGCTGAGCCTGGAGTTTCAGGTGTCTGCGGTGGCCAGGAGTGCTTTTGCATAATTAAAACTTGTGCGCCAGCTGTGCCCGTACCTTGAAACACCTGACAGCCATGGTACTCCATGCCTTAGTTGTGAGAGTTGGCAAATGTGAATAAGCAGAACAAGCAGAAGCTTTACCACAGACATACCCTGCAGTATAATAAAATGTCACTCAGGCTTGTGAAACAAGTAACAGTATCTTTACTTTAGTTCAAACGTTCAAACAGGGTAACAATATATGTATCAGTCACTTTGAATTCAGGCAGAGAACAAAGAGAATAAAACAGTCCTTTTAAATAGTCCTTAAAATAAGCCTTGGGCCTAAAATGATAAAACTTCAAGACAGTTGGCAGCCAGCACTATCTCTTCACTGTCCAAAGTGAGAAATGGCAGTTAGAACCGTTTGTCTCAGCAGGATGCCAGAGGCAGCAGCCAATCAGAACTCTGGCTCCTGGCACACTCAATCAGCTGCTGACACACATCTCTCCAGTTAACTCACGATATCATGGCGTCCTTTTTCAAATCCTCACATTAATCACATCCAGATTGACTACTGCAGTGCTCTCTATGTTGGGCTGCATTTGAAGATAGTCCGGAGGCTTCAACTGGTTCAGCGATTGGAGGCCAGATTGCTAACTGGGGCTCCATTCATGGAGAGAACCACCCCCGTGATGTGGCAGCTCCATTGGCCGCCGATCTACTTCTGGTTCGGGCCCAGGCTATTTAGCAAACCACATCTCCACATACAAATCTGCTTGGGCACTCCTATCAGCAGAGGAAATAATCCACCCAGCACCCCCTTTGCCTTCAGGAGATCAAGGTTGGAAGGAGGAAAAGGGGGGAGGGAGACTCTTGAGAATTAGGAGATACCCCAAGGGTCCATCCAGTTCACCCCCATTCTGCCATGCAGAAAGACACAATCGAAGCCCACCCCACAGATGGCCATCCAGCCTGTGTTTAAAATTTCCAGGCAGCAGCATGCGTTATTCCACTGTCAACCAGCTCAGGAGGTTCTACCTAATGCTTATGTGCCAACTTTGGTCCAGATCCATCATTGTTTGAATCCACAGTGCTCTCTGGATGTAGGTGAACTACAACTCCAAAATGCAAGGTCAATACCCACCAAACCCTTCCAGTATTTTCTATTGGTCATGGGAGTTCTGTGTGCCAAGTTTGGTACACTACCTCGGAGGATGCTTGCCATAGATGCAGGTGAAACGTCAGGAAAGAATGCCTCTAGGCCATGGCCATATAACCCAAAAAAACCTACAACAACCCAAGTTTGGTAGAGTTCAGAATGAACTATAAATCCTAGCAATTACAATTCCCAAATTACAAAATCAATTCCACCTCCAACCCTGCCAAACTAGGACATATTGGGTATTTATGCCAACTTTGGTCCAGTGAATGAAAATACATGCTGCTTATCAGATATTTACATTACGATTAATAACATTACAAAATTACAGTTATGAAGTAGCAACAAAAAGAATTTTATGTTTGGGGGTCACCACAACATGAGGAACTGTATTAAGGGGTCGCAGCATTAGGAAGGCTGAGAACCACTGTTTTAACGTTTTATTTGGTAATTTACAGTTGAGGACACAACAGGAGGAGATCTAGACCAAAGGGAATCATAGTCCCACTCTCTTCTACTTTGGTCAGACCTCACCTAGCCTGCAGTTGAGAAGGAACATGGGGTCCTTCCACACAGCCCTATATCTGAGAATCATAGAATCATAGAGTTGGAAGAGACCTCATGGGCCATCAAGTCCAACCCCCTGCCAAGAAGCAGGAAAATTGCACTCAAAGCACCCCCAACAGATGGCCATCCAGTCTGTGACTAATATGGAATGAAGTAGGGTATATTTATTTTATTATCCATGAATACTCTCCTAGTTCCTTGTGGGCTTAGAGACAGCTGTTTTGTATCCTAGGCCGCTTCCACACAGCTGAATAATATCCCACGTTATCGGCTTTGAATTGGGATATATAGCAGTGTGGGCTCAGGTAACCAAGTTCAAAGCAGACATTGTGAGATTTTCTGCCTTGATATTCTAGGTTATATGGATGTGTAGAAGGGCCCCCAATGGACTTGTTGCTACAAGTAGTGATGAAATGGTTGGGGAGAGGCTCTATCCCTCCCTCTGTCCTCCCTTTCTTTATTTGGGAAGGGAGAGGAGACTTCGTTGAGAAAATGTACAGCTTAATTTTGGGACATTTTGGAAAGTCATGGGGAGCACTCTGCTAGCCCTCTGTGAGTTCACTGATGCCTAATGCCTGGTCCTCCATCCCTGAATCTTTCCCCAAATTCCATGCATTTATGTAGTTTCTCCCCTGTGTGAGTCCTTTGAGAGGAACACAGTATGCCACTGTGACTGAAGCTCTCTCCACAATCCATGCACTTATTTGGCTTTCCTCTGTGTGGATCCTTTGATGGGAACGCAGTCTGCCACTCTGACTGAAGCATTTTCCACATTCCATGCATTCATACGGCTTCTCCCCAGTATGGGTCCTTTGATGGGAACGCAGATTTCCACTCTGACTGAAACTCTTTCCGCATTCAATGCATGTGTATGGCTTCTTCCCTGTGTGGGTTCTTTGATGGGAACGCAGTTTGCCACTCTGACTGAAGCTCTTTCCACATTCAATGCATTTATATGGCCTCTCTCCTGTGTGGGTCCTTTCATGGGAATGCAGATTGGCACTCCGACTAAAGGTCCCACCACATTCCATGCACTTATATGGCTTCTCCCCTGTGTGGATCCTTTGATGGGAACGCAGATGTCCACTCTGGGAAAAGCTCTTTCCACATTCCACACATTTATATGGATTCTCCCCTGCATGGGTCCTCTGATGAGAATGCAGCCTGCTACTCTGACTGAAGTTCTTTCTACACTCCATGCAGGTATATGGCTTCTCCCCAGTGTGAGTTCTTTGATGGGAATGCAAATGTCCATTCTGAGAGAAGTTCTTTCCACATTCCGTGCAGTTATATGGCTTCTCCCCTGTGTGAGTCCTTTGATGGGAATGCAGACAGTCACTCCGACTAAAGCTCTTTCCACATTCCATGCATTTATATGGCTTCTCTACTGTGTAGGACCTTTCATGGGATCGCAATGTATCACTTGGATTGAAGCTCTCTCTACATTCCATGGAATTGTACAGCTTTTCCCCTGTGTGGGTCCTTTGATGGGAATGTAGTTGTCCACTCTGACTGAAGCTCTTTCCACATTCCATACAGTTATATGGCTTCTCCCCTGTGTGGGTTCTTTGATGGGAATGCAGTGTGTCACTCCGACTAAAGCTCTTTCCACATTCCATGCATTTATATGGCTTCTCTCCTGTGTGGGTCCTGTGATGGGATCGCAGTGTTTCACTCTGACTGAAGCTCTCTCCACATTCCATGCATTTATATGGCTTTTCCCCTGTGTGGATCCTTTGATGGGATCGTAGTGTGTCACTCCGAATGAAGCTCTCTCCACATTCCATGCATTTATACGGCTTCTCCCCTGTGTGGGTCCTTTGATGATAACGCAATGTGTCACTCCGAATGAAGTTCTTTCCACATTCCATGCAGTTATATGGCTTCTCCCCTGTGTGGGTTCTTTGATGGGATTGCAGATGTCCACTCTGACTGAAGCTCTTTCCACATTCGATGCAGTTATATGGCTTCTCCCCTGTGTGGGTCCTTTGATGGGAACGCAGTGTCTCACTCTGACTAAAGCTCTTCCCACATTCCATACATTTATACGGCTTCTGCCCTGTGTGGGTCCTTTGATGGGATTGCAGTGTTTCACTCGGACTGAGGCTCCCTTCACATTCCATGCATTTATATGGCTTTTCTCTTGTGTGACTTATCTGATGTATATCAAGAACACTTCTCCATCTTAAGCATTTCCCACAATCTAAACAATCATATAGCTCGTCCACTTTCTGGTCCTTGGGATAGAGTTGTAGAGGATATTCCATTGTTTGTGATTTATAATTCACATCCTTTGTCATAAGTTCACAAAATAATTCACCTTTCAACTGAACAGGAATTCTTCTTCTCAGTCTCAATTATTTCTGTAGCCTCTCTGGTTCCTTTTCCAAACCCCTCTTTTGATGTCACAAACTTGCTTTTTCCCTTTTAGTTCCCAAGTGCATGACTTTTAATTTTTTTTCTTGCTTATTCCTTTGTTGTTGTAGCTTTGTACCTTCGTGTTATTTCAGACTTAGGGCATCCCTACGGCAGAGATGGCACAAGATTTGTTCAGGATGTACCTGCATGATGAAAAAGAGGAAAATCTCATCAGGAGTTGAGCATAGAAAGATTATTTATTTATTTACTTACTTGCAATGTTTATATTCTGTCCTTCTCAGGGCGGGGGACTCAGGGCGGATTACAGTGTACATATACATGGCAAACATTCAATGCCATAGACACACAACATAAACAGACACACAGAGGCTATTTAAAATTCCAGCTTTTCATGAGGGTATTCTGGCCATCAGAGGAGCTGTTGCTTCTCTGTTCATTTGTGACACTGATGAAGTACTTCCTCGTTCTTTGCACGCTTGCTGGAGATTTTTATGGCATCGTAAATTAGTTAAATTAGCCTCCCCGCATAAGCAGTACCCAAATTTCCTACTTGACAGATCTAACTGTCTTTTGGGCTGCAAAGGTCTATATATGTTGTGTGTCTACTGGCATTGAATGTTTGCCATGTATATCTGCATTGTGATTCGCCCAGAGTCCCCTGCAGGGTGAGAAGGGCGGAATATAAATACTGTAAATAAATAGATAAATAAATGATCTGCCAATATCAGAACGGACAGAGAGTTTCATCTCTACTGACGATGGTGCCATCATTGCTCAAGCAGGGAGCTTTGAAATAGTGGAAAAAAAGGTCTCTGAAACTTTAGGTGCTCCTACTGCCTATTATAGGAAAAACCAGCTGATTCCTAATCTTTTTTTTTAATTTTATTATTATTATTGTATAATACATAGAAACATACCATCTTTGAAAATAACATTCAAAATACCAGTTTTTTCCCCAATCCCGCCACCAGCACCCCCCCCCCACCCCGGGAACAAATAAATACTTTAGCTGTGTTTATTACAATTGTTCAATCATGAGAATAGTTTTGTTCAACACTGTATATTTATCTTTCCCCTTTATTCTATATATGAGACCCTTCCATTTTGCTTTCCATGTCTTTTTGCTTTGACCCGTCATATAGTAACTTTTCCTTTCGCTAATATAATCTTGAAGAAGGTAATCTGCTAAATATTTGTACCAGGTTTTTGTATCCCATTTCTTGTGGTCTTTCCAGCCCAGGGCCACTGAGGCTTTAATTCCCTCTATCATATGTTTTATTATTTCCTCACTTTCCTTATATTCCTCTTTATTTTCGAATTTCTGAGTGAAAAATTGGGCCTTATTCCATTCTATCTTGATCCCTAATAGCTCCTCCATTTCTTTCCTGATTATTTCTTGGAACTTTTGGATTTTTTCACATTCCCACCACATGTGGGCATATGTTCCTATTTTACCACAGTTGTGCCAACATAATTTTGGGCACGTTTTTGTGATATGCGCCAGTTGCACAGGAGTTCTGTACCATTTTGTCAATATTTTTCGTTGCATTTCTTTAATCTTTAGATGTTTTATTTTATTGACTAATTTTATCCAATTGTCTATTTCTCTCTCACTGCAACTTACCGTAATTCCTCCTTCCAGACTTCAATCAGGGTAGATTTTGTGTTGTATTGTATTTCCGTGATTATTTTGTATATGAATCCCATGATTCCTTTCTCCTTCTCAACTTTCCATTTTATTATTTTGTCAAGATTTTTTTCTGAGTTCTTCAATTCTATTAGCTTTTTAGACAGCCCTCCCCATTGTAACCAATTTCCAAGCCCGCATTTATCTTTTATTTCCTCCCATTGAATTACAGTCCCGTCTGGTTTTAGTAAATCCTCAATCTTTGTTATTCCGTTTTGTTCCAGTTTCTTTAGCATGTTGCGATATAGCTGGGGTTTTCTGTTGTCTAAGGAACCTATTGGGAGCTTGTCTATTTTATTTACTGGGAGTTTATTTTGCCATTTTCCCCAACAAGTCATTGTTAATGACAAGGGGCCTCCTTTTATGTTTTTTAGTTCTTTTCCCCCAATTTTCCCCATAATGCAAGATCCATATTCCCACCCGTTTGTTAATTTCTCTAACCTAACCCATCTTTTGGGCTCACCGATATCTAATTCAAGTAACCTAGCCAATTGACAGGCTTCGTAATAGTTCTGGAGGCAAGGTGCTCCCCAACCTCCATTTTCTTGTGGAGTATAAAAAATTGAATTTGCAATTCTGGTTTTACTAGAACCTACTACCCATGTTTTAATTGAGTTATCCCATTTCTTTATTATTTTGGGAGGAATGCTACATGGAAGGCATTGAAATAAGTACAAAAGTTTGGGCAGTATCATCATTTTATATGTCTTCACCCTTGTTGTTATATCCCAATTCCATTTTTTCCAATTGTTAATCTGTTTGCTTATTTTCTTCCATAGTTGGTTATAATTTATCTGAATTATGTTATTTAGATTTTTAGGTATATACACTCCTAAGTATTTTAACTTCTTTTCCCCCAGTTTGACCCCTAGAATAGATTGGACTTCTTTCACCTCCTTCCAGTTCATGTTTTTAGGTAGGATTTCTGATTTTTCAATATTAATTGTTAAGCCTGAGATCTTTTCAAATTTTTTAATTTCTTTCGTTACTTCAATTACCGAATTCTCCATTGAACCTATGAGAACTACTGCGTCGTCTGCATACAAATTTATTTTTATTTCTTCTCTATCTATCTTATATCCTTTTATGTTTTTGTTTGATCTGATTAGATTAGCAAAAGGTTCTATTGCTAGGGCAAAGAGAAGGGGGGAAAGAGGGCAACCTTGTTTGGTTCCGCTTTTGATTTCAATAGTTCTAGAATTGGATCCGTTTACTATCACTTCAGCTAGATTATCTTTATACAGTTCCTTAATTACTCCACATATCTTTTTTCCTAAGTTACTCTCCTCGCATAAGTTAGCCAAATAATTATGATTTATTGTATCGAATGCTTTGTAAACATCTAATTTTATTAGAAGTAATTTTGTTTTCTCTCTAGTTGCATGGTCAATTATATTTATGATATTTCTAATTGGGTCCGCTATCTTTCTTTTTATAATAAAGCCGTATTGATCTTCCTCAATTAGAGTGGGTATTACCTCTTTCAGCCTATTAGCTATTATTTTTGTGAAAATTTTATAGTCCACGTTGCATAAAGTAATAGGCCTATATGAGTTGGGGTCAGTCCCCTCTTTGTTTGGTTTTAAAATTGTTATAATTTCGGATTTTTTCCATGTTTCTGGAATTAGTTTATTTTCCATGATTTCATTATATAGTATTAGTAAATTAGGGGTGACTTCCTTTTGAAAAATTTTATAGAAATTTGTAGTGAGCCCATCGGGGCCTGGTGAAGAGTTTATTTTTAATTTCTTTATTACCTCCTCTATTTCATTGCTAGTGATGTTCCTGTCCAGTGTTGCTTGGGATAGAGGGTCTAATTTTTTTTGGAGTAGTCCTTCCGATTTCACTGTATCCTTACTCGTGTAAAGCTTTTCGTAGTAATTGGCCATTATTTCCTTTAGGTCCTCCTCGCTTGTTTTTATTTGGCCCATCTCGTCTTTCAAATTAAAGATTTTTGTTTTCCCTTGTTTCTTTTTTAGGAAATTTGCTAATTTCTTTGTGTTATTTATGGAGTTTGTCTGAAAGTCGTTCTTGACCCAGATATATTTCTTTGTACTTTCAATTTCCTCCAGGTTTTCTAGTTGTTTATTTAACTCTATCCATCTCTTTTTCCCCCCCACTGTTTGGTCTTTTTGAAATGATTGGAACGCTTCTTCTACTTCAGACCTCAATTTCCTTAATCTTTCATTTTCTCTTTTATTTATTCCCTTCTCGATTGTTATACACTTTCCTCTAATTACTGCCTTGAAAGCATCCCAAACTATGTTTTCTTTCATTCCAGGGGTTCTGTTTAAGTTAAAATACTGAATAATTTGTTCATTTATCTCTTTCCTGTCTGACTCTTTATAAGCAACTTTTGGGTTAAATCTCCATTTTTTCACTTTGTTTATGGTATAATTTCCTAATTTTAAGTAGAGAGGTGCATGGTCTCCTGGCCAATAATTGCCCACCAAAAGTTCTTTTATTGGCATTGTGTTGTTGATTCCCACCAGGAAATAGTCTATGGTAGAAAATGTTGAGTGCCTATGTGAGTAGTGTGTTGGGGTATCTGCTCTTTCCCCTATTCTATTGTTGGCCTCTATTAAGTTCCACTTACTGAAATTTATCTTACAATTTGTACCTGAATTTCCAGTTCTATTACTCTTCGTTTTTTTGTACAATTGTAAATTTAGGTCCCCACCGACTATTATATCTCCTATTGCATGCTTTTCTATTTTTGAGCAAGTTTTGTTTATAAATTTTAATTGTTTCTGATTTGGGGCATAGACACTTGCTATTGATACCTGAGTATTGTTAATTTTACCTATTATCATTATGAATCTACCTTCAGTATCTTTAATGACCTTTTCCAGCACAAAGTTTAGATTATCCTTTATTAGTATGGCAACTCCTCTGGCTTTGTTTGAGCCCCTCGATTCATACTGTATATCCCAATTTTTATCGTTGAGCAATTTGGTTTTGTCCCCCATTTTTTTGTGTGATTCTTGAATTAATGCAATATGTACTTGTTTTTCCTTTAACAATTTGGATAATTTGTGCCTCTTAACCGGTGTCGAA